CCGCGCATTCCATCGTGACGCGTACGTTATAAATTATTTGTCAAAATGCACAGTAAAAAACATTTTGTACTTGTGTTAAAATCGGTCCTTGTTAAAATTTTTGTGTTAATAACCTACATATTATATGTAAATTTAACACATGTCTACTATGTTAACTGATCTTAAGAAATATAAAATGTAAAATTATTAAAATGATTTAAGAAATGTGTTAAAATAACACAATTCGTACGTATTTATTCAATATGTTAAAATTTACACAAAAAAAATATTGGTTTTACTTTATAACAGGAGTGGGGATGACTTGTTATTATTCTTTGTGTGGTTTCGGCACAGTCTTGAATTTTGACGCGACGTCTCGATATGTTATTTTATCATAAAAATTATGTTAATTGTAACACACAATTAACTTCAAATTAAGATCAAGAGTACATTTCTTTTTTTGTTGAAATATTAACGTAGTGTCGGTGTTACTATTTAACACATCCATATTATGTTAAATTAACACAAAATTTTGAGTGGACATGCGATTTATATTAAATTCAACACATTTTTTCGTTGCACAATCATCGGAAGACACATCAATTATATATTGCGGCGATATCTTGTATAAAAAAATCCTATTTTATTTTATTTTATTTATAAATTCTTCTCGTCTCAGAAGATCAGCCCTTCATCGCTTCGTAAAAAAAAAAAAAGAAAAAAATTTAACAAGCTAATAATTTTCTAAATATATCAGTGCTATGAAAATATCGCGCGTTGACAGAAGTGCGATACAAAAGATACGAGTTTTGGTCCCGCCCGAGATATTAACGTAATGAGATTAATTAATAGAACAGAACGGGGAGATAATTTGGATGCGTGCGTGTGTGGGTGACCACAGGGTTACTCACATCTAGGGTGCGCCGTCGATGCCTCTTACAGGACGCTTTAAAATGAGCTTACAAACAACTAATACCACGACTTCCTATGTATTAAATAGGGCCGGTAATACCCAACTAATTATCTGAGAAACAGACATCATATACGTATTCATGAGTGAAAATCGTATTATACACGAAGTTGCTGAAAGTTGCCGAGTTGAAACATCGCCACGTAATCACAGAAGCGCGAAGAATGCTAATCTAAATGAAGAAACTCATGGATGTTACTTTTCCGGTATGGCAGACATACCACATAGGAGAGCAGCCTCTTGTTTACGGATAAATGTCTTACTTCCCCTACTTTGCCAGTGGCCGCGGCCATCTTGTTACCCCGCCTTTCCTTTCGAATCCCCCCTGTATTCCCCCTGCGAACGTTAGACTGCCACCACCACCATCACTACCACCACGTAACCCTCGCAGTCCCTCGTCTTACCCTCTCTGGAAAATGTGGCTCCCCACACCATTCGCCCCACCCCCTTTATACACTATTCTGACTTACCCCTTCCAGCAGAAGGAAACATGGAAAGACGCCAAGGTAGCTCGGAAAATTTCTCATCGCAGAAACTTAAAAGAAATATCTTAATATCTAATTATTTCTTCGTGTATGTACATTTCTTTGTGAATTTACGAGATTATATATTTCTTACATTATGCAAATATTTAAAGTTGCGTGATATAAGCAAACTTTATACACACAGTGCAATCGAATCATTAGTTGCTTGTTTCACAAGATATTCTAACTGTTAAGTAATAACCGAGTATTATAAAACGCCAATCAAATCCATCGCAAAAAATTATCGCAAATCGATAAAACAAATAAAATCTGAAATCTGAATCGTTTAGTCCTCTTATAACCAATCGCTCATACGCGATACGTCGCGGCGCTTGCAGCAGTAGAAAAGGATTACGCTTAATCCGCCGGCCATATCTCACAGCATAATTGTTTCTATCCGCTATGCTCCTATTAAAATATGCAGAAAAAGCATATTACATCTATCAATATAAATCAAGTAAAAATTAATTTAATCTATTCCTTTTCAAATAACTGCCGCGTTTCGCATATTTTTTGTCGGTAAAAAAAAAATCAGCGTGATTCTAAAAAATACTTCTAATGTTATAAATACTATAAATACTAATATAAATACTTCTAATTATATTAATAAAATTGGATGCAGTCTTGTTATTACTTGTAACAGTTACATCTATCGCGATTTTGAGAATTTTACTCAAAAATGTTTGAATTCATTTGCGTACTACAATTTTGTCTGATTTAATTATAGAGACTTTGGTAACGCGTGGTTTTACATGGAGAACCGTTGCAAATAGTTTCTCAGCTGACCCACGTCAAGCACATATTTGCATTTATTTGCGAGCGTAAGCATCTCGTTTAAGTATGTGAAGGAATAGTGGTGGAAAGACAGAGAAAGGGAGATAAATAGTAGTGGCTGCAGGACACGGAGTCAGATTGGAAGGATTAGACGGATCCTTAATCGGAGAAACCCAATCCTGTCAGAGAATGGAATGTCCTCATTCCCATCGGCCCTTTCACTCCCGAAGGTACGGCGGTATTCCGCCAATAAAGATAAGAATCTTCGATTACGGCAGATTATTGCGCCCTTCCTCTGTCGCGTTCTTTCTTTCTTTTTCCCTTTTTCTTTTTCGTTTCCCCCGTTTTCATTTCCATTTTGATTTTCACTAAGCATTTTACTGCGGCTATGAAATTCTAGAAACCACTACCGCATGTCTACATTATTACATCCTCGCTAAAA